AAAAAAAAAAAAAAAATTTAGGACATCTAAATGAACCTCATTTCAAAGATAAGGAAAGTGAGGTTCAGAGAACTCAGGAAACAAGAAAGTGGCCAAGAACCCCATTCTTCTCATTTCAAGGCCCACCAAACACATGGTCTCCTGGTGAAATAATAGCATAGACATAAAATGCGAAAGCAGCAGGGAGGGGTGGGGGGAAAGGCAAAAACAAATAATCTGGGCAGAGACAGAGAACAATGATTTGGAACAAAGATAGAGAAAGTATGGTGGATTTGGAAAAACTCAGGCAGTAGATCTCACAGCCCCCTCCGTGGTAGAAGATTGTGGGCTGGGTATCAGAAAGAACTTCCCCACAGGAAGTTAGGAAGATGAGGGTCTTTCCTTTCTGTGGTTAATGAGATGAATGCCTGCCGGTGGATGTACAGCATGCTGAGTGTACTATAGACATTCATTCATCAACACTGAAGTCTTGAGCACCAACCGTATGCCAGGCACCGAATTAGACCCTGGTAACACAGAAAACCAAAACGGTCCCAACCCTCAAAGGGCTCCCAGAGAGCTAAGTGGAAACAGGTCCCCTTAGCCACATGGAGTGTGTGGGAATTTGCAGGCCGGGGCGGGGGTGGGGGTGGGGGTGTTCAGGAAAAGGTCCTCCTTCAGACAAGTTCTATAGCCCCAAAGTCAGCACCCAGGGTGGTCTGGGTCAAGGCACCCCAGCAGTATCCTTGACCACTTTCCCACCAAAGAAAGGAATGAAGGCCAAAACGGTCTCACTTCTGAGGCTGTGCCATCCAAGAAGCCTTCCTGGAGGAGGCCAGGGAGACCATCAACATCCTTAACCAGATACCATCCCACATGCCAGGGTCACTCCCCTTTGCTTAGTTTCCTTGACTCCCCCTCCTCTTGCTTTTCTAAGTGTCTTCCTCCCTACCTTACCCCTGCCCCACCTGCTCTCGCCCTCCCCTGCTCCAGCCAGGCAGTAGTGGCCAGCCCTCAGCTCAGAATAGAGCTCCCAACCTTAGGGATTCACTTCCTTCCTCTCCCACCTCTCCCCATCCCCTACCCACCTCCCCACACCCACCCCTGCACACAGACACACACACACACTCCCCAGACCCAAGCCTGGCTTAAGTCCTTTCTTCCCTCTTCAGCATACAGGCTGAGAGGACTGGTTGACTACAGAGGGGTGGAAGAGCCTGGTGGAATAGAGGGCCACAAATAGGGCTTCAGAATAAAGCCTCTGTGTGTGTGTGTGTGTGTGTGTATTCCCAGAATGTTCCCTAATGTCAGCCTGGAACATGCTGCAACACGCTGGCCCCAAAGCTAAGCACTCAGGGTGGGACCGGGTGGAGGTAACACCCATAGCAGCAGGAAAGACTGGAATAAGAGCTGTGTCTCCTCCCAGATCAAGGGATTTTCTGCACCTTTATTAAGCACCTACTGTGTGCCCACCAGGCACTGAGGAATCATCTGTAGGATACAGAAAAGAATCCGAAAATGATGTTTACTCCAATGAGCTGTCTGTCTAGGGGATTTGGTCTCAAGGGGGGAGGAGGAGCCAAGGGACAGGGATGAGAATCACTGCAACCACTGTCTCCTCAGTAGCTTGAACTTGAAGGAAAGGCCACAAGAACATCCTACCCAGTCCCCTGCCTCCAAGCCTTTAAAAACAGGGATTTCTCTGACACATCTCCAGGAAGGGAGATTCTCCAGCCTCCCTTACATGAATACCCTTGTCTCCTTATTCTAAGCTCCTTCTTATGGCTAGCTTCACTTTGTATTCCTGAATTTTGTGTTTTTCTTTTAATTTAAAAAAAAATTTTTTTTTAACGTTTATTTACTTTTGAGACAGAGAGAGACAGAGGATGAACGGGGGAGGGTCAGAGAGAGAGAGGGAGACACAGAATCCGAAACAGGCTCCAGGCTCTGAGCTGTCAGCACAGAGCCCGACGCGGGGCTCGAACTCACGAGCCGTGAGATCATGACCTGAGCCAAAGTCGGACGCTTAACTGACCGAGCCACCCAGGCGCCCCTCTTTTAATTTTTTTTAATGTTTATTTATTTTTGAGAGAGAGAGGCAGAGCACGAGTGGGGGAGGGGTAGAGAGAGAGAGACACAGAATCCGAAGCAGGCTCCAGGCTCTGAGCTGTCAGCACAGAGCCTGACGCAGGGCTGGAACCCACAGACGGCCAGATCATGACCTGAGCTGAAGTTGGACGCTTAACCAACTGAGCCACCCAGGCACCCCGACTTATTCTTGAATTTTAAACTCATTTCTCTTGCCCAGAGCTCAGTGGAAGCAGACTTCTTGAGCCGCTAAGAACACAAATGGTTAATTCAACCTTGCAGCTCCCTGGGCTCTCCAAGTAAAGAAGGAAGGGGCACCCAGTGACTCATCCCAAGTTTCCCCAGAGACAGAAGTTACTAGCAAAGAGGGGTCTGATGAGGGTCCAGTGTTGGGGCAAGGGAGCTGGTGGGGGATGGGAGATGCTTCCCTGGGGGAAGGTAAAGAACAACAGCAAGGCCACCCTCCTCAGCTCGTCCTCCACAGACCTCCGGGGCTACAGAAGGAGGTAGAAGGGATGCCGTTGTCTTCTTAGCCCTGTCTCTGCGGGGGCTCCTTCCCCACACGGAGGCAGGCAGGGGCTTAGATCTGGACAATCTTCTGTCCTCACACATCAGGGGTATGCATCGATGGACACAGATTCAGACACACAAACACCAGGCATGTCAGTGCTGTCTCCTCAGCGTGCACACACATGCACTCACACACATCCTTCTTCCCTCCTCTTCCGCCTACGGTGGTCTCAGGGATGGCCACCTCTATAAATGAGGATGGGGTGAACAGATGGGTAGCTAAGCTTCAGGGTTGATGATGTTGCCTTCCCACGGCAGGAAAGAAGCTGCTGGAAGTTATTCCTGGTGGGCCAGACTGGAATCAAAGGCAATGCAAAGAGCCAGCGGTATCTTGAGCCTGGGCCTTCTCTCAGCCTTGGAGCAGAGCCATCCATAGCCACAGGGAAGGCACCTCTGCCCTGGGTCCTGCCTCTGCTCTGGTCCTCCCAGGGATGCCCCCCGCCTCTGCCACAGAGGGGTTGGAGCCTACACGGCATTCGTCCCTCTCCCCTCTGAGACCACACTCCGGACCAGAAAGGAATTCCCTACCCACAGCTGACCCTGCTTTGGGAGCCTGCACTTCTCTCATTCTGGCTCCTTCTCCCGACAATGGGCAGCAGGAGCATGCGTGTTATGTGCACACTTAGGCAAAGGGGTGACGGGGCAGTTATGGGGGAGGGATGGACACAGCATGGACATGCAGCTGGGGTATCAACACACATGTGCTGGAAGCCCTTTGTACCCTGCTGGGTGTGGGACGGAAGGGCAGATGACCCAGGGGCTCAGGGCCAGGGGACCTTCTCCCCAGGCCGCTGCATTCCCATTCTGAGGAGTCAGAACTCTCAATTCCATCCCGGCCTTTCAGATCATCGTGGGGCTGTACTTGTCAAGGTA